CCGGATTGCGAGACGGTGCAGGCCGGGTTGAGGGACCCCTCCCATGCACAAATTTGTGCACCAGGCCTCTAGTTATTAAATAATGAATTTTTGGGTTTTGTAAAAATGCAATTTGGGATATCCTCATGTGGACAGAGAGAGAGAAGCATCAGAGGAAAAGAGAAGGAGATAAAAACATTAATGATGAGAGAGAATCATTGATTCTCTGCATGCCCCACTGGGGATCAAGCCTGCAACCCAGGCATGTGCCCTGACCCGGAATCAAGCTGTGACCTCCTGGTTCACAGGTTGATGCTCAACCACTGAGCCACACCAGCTGGGCAATAAAAATATATTTTAAAAAACTTAAAAGAAAAAAAATCAGAGATAGGAACAAAGCAGGCCAGTTATCTTTCTTTTTTTTTAAAATGTCCTATACTTTTTTACTTTCAGATCAATAAGAAGAAATATTACTGTTTTTGAAAACATACCTAAGTGGATTGATTCTACCTTCTTTTTTATGTTGTGGCCTTCGGTAAGTTACACACTTGGACCTCTGTTTCTTCATCTGCAAAATGGGGATAGTACCACCTTATTCCAAGGATTGTTTTGTAGGTTAAATGTTTTAGTATGCATCAAGTATCTGACACATAATGGCACAGAAGAACCATTTATTTCCCCTCTCTTATCAGTTGGTGGTTAAGGGGAAGGGAGGAATAAATAGGTAGAGTATAGGGGATTTTTATGGTAGTGAAATTATTCCATGTGATGGTTTAATGATGGACACATGATATGATGCATTTGTTAAACTCATAGAATATATAACACAAAGAGGAAACTAATGTAAACTGTGGTCTTTAGTTAATAATGTACCAATATTGGTTCATCAATTGTAACGAATGTGCCACACAATACAAGTTGTTAATAATAGGGAAAAATTTAAACCATTTAAACTTTCTGTGGAATTTTTCTGTAACCTAAAGCTGCTCTACAAAGACCTATTAAAAAAACCCAAACACATTAATGGCTGACACACAGATGCTTAATGTTTGGTTAATGAACGAATATGAGCCATGACTGCCCTACTGCCCCACCCCCATCAATTTCTGAACTCTGTTCCTTAATATATAATATAAAGTTAAATGCTACAAATAACTTTATGAAAGATATGTGAAAACTAAAAAATACAAGGAAATATACAAGTTTATTACAGAGTTCTAGAAAAAGGCACTTTCTAGACATTTGAAAAACCTTCCACAACACCAGAAGCCCACAAACCAGAGATAATTAAAAAATATATATATTATTATTGATTTCAAAGAGGAAGGGAGAGGGCGAGAGAAAGAAATAGAAACATCAATGACAAGAGAGAATCATCGATCACCTGCCTCCTGCAGGCCCCACACTGGGAACAGAGTGTACAACCCAGGCATGTGCCCTGACCAGGAACTATGACCTCCTGGTTCATATGTCAGTGCTCAACCACGGAGCCATGCCAGGAATTTTTTTTTTTCAAGTTTCTGCTAATAGGCTTGCTAGAGGACAGTGGATCAATCACATGATCATATTCATACTGGGCCAATTAGCTTTGCTCTCTTCCTGCATCACAAACTGCATTGTTCATTCTGTCTGCCCTTTTTCTTGTAAGATACATACCATCTTCATTAAACAAAACAAAACAAAAACATATTATAGAGAGAAACCAAGATGGTGGCATAAGTAAACACCGGAGTTTGCTGCCTTGAACAACCACTTCAAAAATACAACTAAAAGACGAAACGGACATCATCCAGAACCACAGGAGGGCTGGATGAGTGGAAATTCTACAACTAGGAGGAATGAGAAAAACACTGAG